CATGGGAAGGAAATTATTGTTATTCGTACCCTACATAGTTTCCAAAGGTTTATAGGCATGTAAAACAAAACTGTAAAACGACTTCAATCCTTTGCGTTTGTAAGTACATTCGGAATCACAATTCACATATTTGCAATCATCTATTGACATAGGTTCTACAAATGTAAGTTATACAAAAACCTATATAACTTGTGTCAATAAACCTTTGCCATTTCACAACAACTGGGCTTTCAATTCCACACTGGGTAGTGTGGAAGTAAAAGGCACTGCTCACCCATCATCATCATCGTCCCTAAGAGCAAAATTCTACCCACTGACAAACATTTAAGGAGATTCCCGGCTTATGTTCCACTCCCCGAGATCCGTTCTCCATGTCACTGCACTCACCTCCCACTCAACTTCTTTAATCCTCACTAGACACAGACATGTCTCGACTCCTGACGTCTAGCTCTGGACGTCTCTTCATCTTCCATTGACCACTCCCCATGCATCAAGGCACCAATCCATCCAGCCTCGTCCACGCACGTGGTTCTAGGCATCCGCCATGTACACTCACACGATGACATTATCACACGAGGAATGGGGGGTGGGGAGAACATTTAAGGCAGCTAGGCATATAGCTTATCACCCATCCCACGGTGTTTTGTGATAATAGACACATAAACCCGATTGCCCCTTGGCATTATGCGCCTTTTATAGAAGCATCAATGCTTGTCAAGCTAGAGATGGCATTGAAATAAAGAAATTGGGACACAATTGTTGTTAGGGATGGGAGAAGGCAACAGGAGAACTTTAAACATTTTTACAGTGGCAACCGTCGCAATTACATTGGGAGAGTTGACAGTAATTACTTCTTAATCTCTGGTAATCATACGTATAATTTATTTGAGTGTACATGGGATAGAGTTTCTCAGCGAACTCGAAGGTTCTCAAAACGCTACCGGTGAAAGATAACTCAAGCGTAGATGCCAACGACAAGCCATGAAGATGCAGCAATAGACACACATGTATGAAGAGATTTACCAACTCCCAGTAAGGATAAAATACATTACAATAGTGCAATGAGTGACGTAATACAAAAGTAGGAATAGTTGGAGGGACAAGACATGGTAATTTTGGCATTGGGAGCCAGGAATAAGAGGACTTATTTTATAATCCACATCCAAGCATTCGGAGAAAGCTCAAATTATGAGAATTAGAAATGAGATTGGCTTGATACGATGACAAACCCCAGATGTCAGAGACATCTGTGTCTTCAGCAAATTTTCCACGCCTAGAGTGATAACAGGCTGGTGTGATGCAAGTTACGCTTCATCCACCTCAATGTGAAATCATGTTTGCTGCTTTGCATAAAAATCAGCCATACGAAAAATAGGATAGTCAAAGAGAGAACAAAGATAATTACAGGAAAAAATCAAACATCTGGCTCAGGAGGTACCAGAATTTTGATTAACTCGAAGCAAACATTTCAAACACCTCTAGAAGCAATACTTAGAATGATACAATAACCATCATAGTTGGTGTAACGTGCTCTAAGTGGGGGGGGGGGGGGGGGGGGGGGAGTAGAACAAGTTCTCCAAAACGACAAAAGACATGAAGAGGCAGTCAAAGGAGAGAACACCACTTGAGACAACGACCGCCACATGGATTGAGCAATGCGTTCAGCTCAGTGTGCACGAGCGACGTAGATTGTTACATTGTGAGCTTGTGAGCGATGGCTACGACTTTGGGAGGCATTCATCCATCAACGATGATGATGACAATCTGTACGAGGCTCCTACATTCTACACAACGCTACGTGGAGTATTTGTAGAGGATGTGTCAGGGTGTACACCGGTTATCACGAGGTGCACTTGGGTCCTGTGGAAACTTCACCCTGGTCTCAAACATTTCACACTGCAGTGCAGCGTAGACAGAACATGGGCCGCATGAATTTCACTGGATCGCTCACATACCGATGCTTGCATCAGCCCTTACACAAGACGACTGTCTATTCAAAGCCTACATAAGGAATGATCACGTGTACTGCGCTATGGACCTGGTCACCTGAGTTTGATTCCTGGCCACGGCTAACCGACGAACAGCCAACACACATCACTTGTGACCGACACGGCATGGGGAGGCCTTCATCCAGACAAGAAATAAAACATTTGTTGTAAATGAATGATTAAACACTCGTAGACATAAAATGCATAATTTATGACGCAAAGATCATGTACTGCTGCTGCTAGTTTCTTGCATGTGCAAATCCTCCAAGGTATTGTTCTCAAATGTCAAGCTACCCTATTGTGTATTGATGTTATAGTATTCATATTCACATATGAACTCCTTAATATAGATGAACACATAAAACAGTAAGTGAAATTTATTTATTTATTTTACGACTACACTGTGCGTACAACCACAGCAGTGCACAGTGTTTGTGCGGAAACACACACACACACACCTCTCTGGTCCATGCGTATGCACAGCATTTTGTTGATCCACTGCTGAATGAAGGCCGGCTCATGCCATGCCGACCATCGGGGGCTGTTTGACCATACATTAAAGCGCCGGTCAACGATTGATGGAGGCCGTGGATTCCACTGCATTGTCCTCTGCTTCCTTCACTTTTGCCGAGCCGCAGCAGCATATACACCTTGTCCTCGTCCATGGTGAGCATGCATTTGAGCACCAGCCAGGCTCAAAAAACCTGCTGAGCTTCTGAGATCTGAGCGAGATCGGGCACATGCCGAGTGATGATGTGCATAGATGTGCAGTGTCTTTGAGTTCTGTATATAACGTAAACGCAATTTATATTTTAAATTCGCCCAGCTTATAGGTTGGGCTTTGTCAAACAGCCATTTCACTCTCTGAGAGAATTTTGAGTTGGAATTTTAATTGTTGAGAAAAATTATTTTACATGATATATTCATTGTAAACACACTGTATAGCCTAGTGTTAATACACTTTTCTAACCACAGACTTCAAGACACAACCTGCGCAGAGAATTAATGTAGGTGGTTAATGACAGGGATCAGTCTTTGTGTTCCCTTGGCATAATGTTGCCTATCGGCTGGAACAATTACGTTCTCAGCAACTCTGTGCAAAAATATAATACGTATAGTGTGTGTGTGTGACCTGGGTCCCATAGTTGACATGGAGTGTTGTTGCCAGTAGCATCTGGCAATCCATCAATATTTGTTGAATAAGCCCGACTGTGCTGATGAGACCAAAAAAAGTCGAAACTGGTCCAGAGTTTGCTGGCTTTCAAACAATGCCGATTGATCATATCGATCTAGGAATCCGATAGGTTGTTGGAGTTAACATGATGATTATTTGCACATGTATGTGGAGACAGAACACAAGCTCTGCTAACTATGTGTGCTTTTGCTAACAGCTCTGTAGCGTGTCTTGGATTGGCGTTACGGCTCGCGTTCGCCCCCTATCGGTAAGTGCTAGGAAATTACAAGTCAGGACCGCACTTTGGTCACCGCCAGGTATTTTTGTTGGTCTTTTGGAAATTAACTCTTAACGATGATGCCTTCTGGTTTTTTTATTCTTCTTCAATATGTACAGTATATACATAAAGGATGCTGTAATGTGAGCCAAAAATACATGTGTGTATCACTTTGCAAATGACAAACCCCGCTTCTTTCAAGCTCCCTAACTGTGCGGTTTTAGACTACCACGTAGCACGTCAAGTGGCACTATACACGTTTAGAGATAACAAAAGACAAACGACGAAGGGTGTTTTTTGGAGACTATTCCTGCTAAGCACACGACGTTAAATGAAGCGGTGGTACGAACACGTCCAGCCTGGCTATACCTGCCCAGTCGCGCTGTACACGTGTATGGTTTTATCCCTGAATGTCTAAATTCCTTTCCTTCACCCCCCCCCCAAAACCCAACCTCTTCCAAAAAAGAGAGGGGAATGCGAGTTGCAGGAGGGGAAAAATAGGAAGGACATTGGAGGATTCTGGGAGGGAGGGGGGGGGTCAGGTAAAAAAAACGACAGAGGTTTATAAATTACTATAGAGTCACGCAGCTAAATTCCACATCTGTTAAAGATTTCTGCGCGGCTACCGGCTTGGCTAAAAATAGCCGTCCGTAATGTGTTGCATGTGCCGTACCTCACACGCTATAGCGTGTACACATCAGTATAACGGAGCCGAGAGCCATTTTATTGTTCACCTTCGCTGTCCCGAACCTTCCACCCCGACCGCCAACTCTCTCTCTCTCTCATCATCCTCTTACTCTAACCATCTCATGCTCAGTCGGACTCGCTCTCCAACCACTGCAATCCATCCAATCCAAGCCCGGCCTGCCGAAGCCATCTATCCCAGCAATAGCCAAGCATACAACCCAAGTCAGCCAGCTAGCCGGCCCATCCAACAACCCTTGCCTGCTCCTCGTTAAAATAACAAGCATGCCGGCAGCATTCCGTCTGTTTGCCGTCGGTGCGGGGGATTGGGAAAGCGATTCGGAAAGAAAAATAAAGCGGAACGACGGGGGGAGGAGGAGGAGGATGAGGGTGGGTAGAGAGCGAGAAGAGAGAGGGTTTGGGTTGACCGGGTAGGTCTTGCCGGGGTTGGCTGGCTTCGCGTACACCGTTTGGCGGGGGGGTGGGGGGGGGGGGTGCGTTTGGTGATGGAGCGCAATAAAGTGGGAGCTGTAAGAGTGGCAAAGAGGGGGGGGGGGAGAGCAGAGCGTGTGGTGGTGGTGGTGGGGGGGCGTGTGTGTGTGTGCTGGCGGGGGAGGGAGGGAGGGAGGTAGAGACGGAGGAGGGAGGGAGGAAGGCTGCTGCTGCTGGTGGTGGTGATGTGTTTAGAGCTGAGTTGCGGGGGAGGGGGGTTGAACCGGGGTGCGGTGGGGTGTGTGTGTGTGGGGCAGAGGGAGGAGGAGGAGGAGGGGGGGTGTACGGGGCATTCCGCGCATACTTTCCTGACGATGTTTGCATTTGCCACTGACATCACATTGCGGCGGATCGCGGGACACGATATAAGGCGCGCGGCGCAAGCTCAGAGCTTCAGAGGAAAGCGACGACTGAGAGAGAAGGCGCTGCTCCAGATACATAGAGAAGGGGATCTCCTACTTACCAGTTGTGTGGACTCAACAGGGCTACGCCATAGATCGAGTTTTAAAGACAAGTCAAACGCTCAATTTTTTTTGTTGAAAGTGTCGTCTCTATTTTTTTTTTGGTATATACATCATCATCTCTTGCGCTCCGTTTTTTTTTACTGTCGAAGCAAAGTCCGTGGATTTTATGCTTTGGAGAGCTTCGCGCTAAGCACCCGTTGTTTTTTTTTAAGGGAAACGATTATTCGACACGGTCGAATCTAGGCGGTTAAACGTTTGATCTCGTCGCTAGTTGATACGAAGAGAAGAAGAAGAAGAGATGGCTTCAGCGTTGGTGATTAGCGCTCTGCTCGCCGTCTGTGTGAACTTGGTAAGAACGACTCCGCACTTCGCACACCGACTTTCATTCATCCACTCGCTCGCTCATGTCTGTTTACGACCATTGACATTTAGTGATAACTACCACTACACTATACTTGCATGGTTAACTGTAACACGCTACGCACGTAGTGAATTATGGTTTCGTGCGCTAACTTTGTATTGAGTTTCTCGAACGTACGCGGTCATCGCATGTGTATAAACACACACACAGTATATATAGACACACGCGCACACACGCATCGAAAGCAAACACGTGCGCGCCCATCGTTCCGAAACGCGCTCGTGGCGCCGCGCGAGTTCCATCGAACGGGGGGCGGAGGGGAGGGCGCATCTTCCGTGCGCATCGACAAACACCGCGACAGCTTCTCACGCAGACACTTCGACAGAGCCGAAAGATTGACCCCGTGCGCTCGCTCTCTCTCTCTCTCAAATCCTCAGGCGTCCACCACCAGCTGCCCAGAGCAGTGCCCGCAGTGTCCCACGAGCCCTCCGCAGTGCGCTCTCGGCGTGAGTCTGGTGAACGACGGCTGCGGTTGCTGCAAAGTGTGCGCACGGCAGTTCAACCAGGACTGCAGCCGCTCCGAGCCCTGCGACCCGCTCAAGGGACTCGAGTGCGACTCGGGAGCGGACGCGTCTGCCGAGAGAGGAATTTGCCGAGGTGAGCGCCAGGTTTTTTTTTTTTTGGCCCCCTACTTTCATCGGGGGTGGCGGGGGTTGTGGTAGCAGAAGATGGTGGAGGTAGGAGGAGGAGGTAGGGAGGGGGGGGGGTTTGGCGTTGGCATGCACAGCCGCTTAACGGAAGGGCAAATGCAGACATTCCTTTGCTGCTGTACTCTGTTGTTTTGGCACACCAGCTAGAATAAAGGTGGGTGGGGGGGGAGAACCCTTCACCGCGCCGCAATGGAAAGGTTTAGTTAGCAAGGACCGCTGTGTGGCATTTGTACGTAGCGTGTGGGTGTATGCAGGGTAGGCGGGATGTCCCGATTACCTCTTACAACTCTGTGTGAGTCACGATACCTTTAAAAGGCAGGGAGCTACGGGGGGGGGATCTCCCGACCACTCAGCTGTCTAACTATAGCGCACTTACAGTAAAGTTAACCCCACACAACCGTCTGGAGTTTACGCCGAGGCTATAATCGTTTTTTTTCTCCCTCCCCTCCATCTTTCGCCCCTCGTAGCCAAGTCGGAAGGGAGAACTTGCGACTACAACGGCAAGATCTACCAGCACGGCGAGAGCTTCCAGCCCAACTGCAAGCACGCGTGCACGTGCGTGGACGGCGTGGTGGGCTGCATGCCCCTGTGTCCGCAAGAACTCGCATTCCCCGCCGCTCGCCTCGCCGATTGCGCCAACCCGCGTCTCATCAAGGTGCCCGGCCGCTGCTGCGAGGAGTGGACATGCGACGACGCCGTGGCGGCCGACTCGTCGTCGGAGGAGGACGCGGCGAGCCAGGGTCAGAGCCGCGAGGAGGAGTTCGCCGACAGCCTGGAGGACGCGCGATCCGTCGAGAGCAACGAGCTGATCGTGTTCACGCCCAGAAAGCACAAGATTCTACCTGGTGAGTGTCTGCTCAGCCAACCATCCCCCCCCCCCCGCCTTCATCCTGGAAGGCCCTCATCCAGCAGTGGATTGGTAAAAAAAATGTTTTGACCAAGGAAAGCCTCACTGAGCTACGTAACTCATTTTCAGACGAGATGTGGCCACAAATGATAGCTCAACGAAGTGGCTAATCACGTGGATATTTATAGCAGCCAAATACAAAAAAACTGGCTGTACATATACGAAGGAATCGGAATTTCTCAACACATGAGCCACCTCTGTGCCAGAACCCGAATGGAAACTGGACTTTGTCGCATTAAGTGCTTTCCTACACTTGGACTTGTGATGCATGAATAAGATACGCCCTCAGTATTCGGAAGGCAAGCACACATCATTTGGTTTGTTGGATTACATCATGCACGTTTGTGCACCCGCTTCAAGCGATGGTGGCTGGTGATATTTTTAAGTTATCCCAAACAACTTTCTTGCAAGTGTGGGAGCTTGAAAATGTAAACAGCGCACACACTGATGCACATTCAGATAAGACCCGTGTGTTTTAACAGCGTGTCCTGTTTTTTCTCTCTCTCTCTCTCTTGTTTCCATACAGCCTGGAGGCAGCACGCCTTTGCAAGGCTCTTCAAGAAGCCCAAGTGCATGGTGCAGACGACCGAGTGGTCACAGTGCTCCAAGACTTGCGGCATGGGCATTTCCACGCGCGTCACGAATGACAACAGCGAATGCAAGCTCGTGAAGGAGACCAGGCTGTGCGAGATCAGGCCATGCAGCAGCCAAGCCCCATCCGCTGCTAACCTCAAAGTGAGTTCGACTGCCACTGCCAACGCAAGCACGATGCACCGCGGTCACGCGCACTCCACAGAGCGGTGAACTCATGGCCAAGTTGGGTAGTAGAATCCATTCTTATAAAATTAATAACAAGTCGGTGTAAGGCTTATTCGTAATCTATTGAAATGCCTATGCATTTTCAATGCATGACGTATTTTGTGAGGATCCCTGATTCTGTGAATAAGACGCAAATCCAGTTAACCTGCTTCAATGACACATCGACAGTCAAATGAATTACTCATTGAACGCCGCATCGCCAACACTCAAAATAAAAAAACCACCCGCAGCATTCGCTTACCACGTTCTCGCGTTTCTAACCGCCTCCGCTTCTCCCCTCTCCGCCGGTCGCGCAGAAGGGAAAGAAGTGCAACCGCACGGAGCGCGCAAAGAAGGGTCTGCGCTACACGTACGCGGGCTGCACGAGCGTGCGCAAGTTCAAGCCCAAGTACTGCGGAGGCTGCGTGGACGGACGTTGCTGCACGCCCGACCAGACGCACACGGTCCGCGTGCGTTTCCGCTGCGACGACGGCGAGACGCTCACCAAGAGCATGCTCTGGGTGGAGAGCTGCCGCTGCCACTACAACTGCGGTGATCACCCCGGCGTCGAGTTCGCGCAGAGCTTCTACCGGCTCGAGAACGACATCCACAAATTCTCCGATTAGAAAGGCTGCCCCCGACCCCCCCACTGTGGTCCGGCTTCAGCCGAGCTAGAGATGGGAATCGCGATTCATTATTTAACCCTTTCCAGGCCCGATACGAGCACTGACTGCCTTTGTCTTCCTTCCATTTACTGTTGGACGGTTTTATTTTTTTTCTTCTTCTCAGCCTGACCGGCAAGTTGACATATCATGGACAAAAAAGTTTTATTTTTTATATATATTTAAAATTTTAACCAAAAGACTCTAAAGCAAAGGTGGACAAGGAACAGCTTATTGCTTCAGTCATGTCATTAATGAAGAAGCTTGCATAATGAAAGTAAAATCAGCTATGGTGAAGCTTACTTTTGGCACTTAAAGCATTTGAGAGCATTTAGTTTTCTTCTAAGCTGGAAAGGGTTAACACATCTACGACCACTTCTCCCTTTTGTTTTTTTTTTTGTTCACGGTGACTTTATAAAGAGACTATGGTCACTAAAAAATCCAAACCGACATTAATAAACGTCCGGGTGAAACAAAGTTGCGGCGAATGAGCTGGCACGCAGGTGTATTAAAATAACTCTGGGGGTAGATTCCATATTTATTGTTTGACTTGTAATGTATATGTGCACTGTAAAAAAAATGTTTTGTTGATGTGAATTTGTAGCAAGGCAGCTGTACTGATGCCTATACACTGAGGCTGGCCTCTACTGCAGTCTTACTAGACTAGATTGCAAATATACTGTACATAGACTTCACAGACTGTGAGGGATTGCAACAGCAACAAAGCTTTGTTTTAGAAGCACGTTCTACTATTTTGAGACTGTAGTAAGCCAAATGTAAAATATTTGTACAAAATATTTATGTTTTTATATAGAGCTATGTTAAAGCTGATATTATATAACTATTTTAGAATTATGTCATTGGTTTAAGATATGCAGTAAATGACCTGAGTGTTAATATTATGAATAGCTTTTTTGAGACTAGTGTATATTTACTGATGGTTGTCGTATGTATTCAGATGCCCTTATATATTTTTGTTATTGTAAATTAAAGAGAAAAATAAAACTTTTCAATGATACACTTTGTTTTGTAGATGTTTTTGGTCGGGTTTGACAATCTCGAGTTCAGGTAATCCCAAAAAGTACCTATTCATGCACTTTAAAATGTAAACAAATCTAATTGTGCAAGCATTGCCTCCCGTGGCAAAATACTGACGTTACATACTCTTTGGTTCTTTCGGTAAAGTCACGTAGGCATGAAATACAATAAATCACGACGTTTCGATCACAACACAAGCGGTCGTCCTCAGGCGGAACAAACATCATCCAGTAGTGGAACTGCTGAACCAGTTCCAACGTTGATTGGAACTTGCATTGCCAAACAAAATTGACCAGACATCTCAACGCAGAACCCTCTTGAAAAAGAGTCTTGAAACTCAATGAGACTTCCCCGGATAAATAATTGTGGCTTCATCATTATTTCATAATTTCCTGGAGAAAAAAAAAGACACGTGCATACCTTGCAGGATCACATTTTCTGGGGGGACGGGGGTTTGCTTGGATAAACGGTGCCGTGTAAATCGCTAGATAAATACAGCGTAAACATTCCAAACATATCTAATTATAAGTATCCGATGGGACATTCGAAGGGTGGAAAATCATAATAATGCGTAAATATCTGCACATAAATGGGTCAAAAGAGCTAACTTGTGGTCTAGGTACACGAACATTTCAGTAAGCGTATTTATTTTGAAACTCAGCTCTGGGTATATAAATTCTACACGTCCATCACCCCCTTTGCTAAAATCTTTCCCAGTTCTGAATTAGGAGAAAGCTATTCCTCTTGATGTACAAGCAGTCCATTTTCATTTTGTTTTTCTCTCTAAACGTTGAAGAGAGAGGTGGTCTGCTTCAAACGAGCTCTGTGGTAAACACAGGTTTCCGATGACGGTACGGTAGGAAAAGATGATTTAACACATAGCAGCGTACACTAATACCATATGGGAGTTACAAAATTTGGCACAAGAGGGGAATGATAACAGACTAGGGCAGCCCTTTGGATCGCAGGAATGGAAAAATTGAACATAACATTCTTGCATGCCTTGAGGATAAATAAATCAAGATTTGTCAAATTGAACTAGGTAATGCTTTTCACCAGTGTGTACTTTTGTGCAATGCCAGTGTGATGGATTTTTTTTCAAATAATAAAAAATCGTTTCAACATGCATACCGACACTACATACACATTGATGCATGTTATATTCACTTGGCAATAAGTGTCCTGAATTTAAATGAAGTATATTTAGCATTGTGTCATCTTAGTCATCACCATCATCATTATGACTGTTACTTATAATTGAGCATGACCTTAAAGGGTTTATTGATTCATTGGCAGAAATGGATTCGCATCAGCATGCTCTAAACTCACTTTTCGTTAAAAGTATCCTCTTCACTTTCACAAAGCGCGGCAATACCTGCTCATCGATGTTGATATGCTTTGGCCGCCAGTCAAAACTTCGTGTTGGAATGTTGCGTGTGGAATTTCTGAGGGCCTAAAATTCAAAAGCAGGACACAAAGGAATGAATGGAACTCACCGCCCCACGGGTACTTACTTGTCGAACCCCGTGTTCTTTAACTCCTTGCTTTGTTTTTCTTTTTGCTCGATCTGTTGCGCAAAGTTTCCTTCAATTTTGGGCAATGACACCCTGCTTGGCATCCTCCGCATGAAGAAGCCTCGGGAGAAAACTGGGTCAAGAGCAGAAGTCCCAGTCTGCTCCTGTGGAGGGCACTCTATTTCGGGCAGAGAGGCACATTGGCAGGAAATGTAAGGCCCTAAAGTAGCATAGCAGCGCAGTTACCCTCGATTCACAGATTCTTAATCACATCAATAACACACGTGGGCAGGGTCATACGCTGGCTACGAACTGGTCTCTAGGCGTTGAATAAAATAATTGCATTAACTACTCACGAAAAGGAAAAAGAGGAATGCATTATTTACCTTCACTTTCAAGTCAAAATGTATTTAAAGGGATTAAGATTCCAAAAACACAACAATATTGCATCACTTTGAAAACTGCTGCCGAAAAAGGGGGCGTATTTGCATGTGCCTGAGTCAGAGGTCGCAACCAGGTACCCGATACCCGTACCCTACCCGATACCCGGCTACCCGTACCCGGCCGGGTACCAGTACGGGTAGCCGTTTGCGACCCTGGTGCAGCCGGGTACGGGTACGGGTAGGCAGTGAGTCACTGGTGAGTAACCGTTTGTCACTCATTTCGGGTAGGGTACGAGTAGGGGTAGGGAACGGGTACCCGTACCTGGCCGGGTACGGGTACGGGTACCCATTTGCGACTCTGGTGCGGCCGGGTACGGGTACGGGTAAGGAATCAAAACCCGTTTGCGACCTCTGGCCTGAGTCAACAAAATATCTCAGCCACTGAGGGGGGGAAAGTACTCCTAACCACTTAACCCCGGTAAGCGGTGAAGACCTCCCGAGGTCCTATTAGAATGTGAAAACGCTTGGAATTTCGAGTTTCATTCTGCGAATAATTGCAGCATTCATTTATCCGTTCACGAGGACAAAGAGTCATTATGTAATGTTGACTAAGCTTCACGAGCAGCTAATCTGCTTGCGTTGGAAAATAACCTGTCAGAATTTGTTTCGGAAAAATATATATGATGGAGATTTCATCGGCTTTTGTCTCAAGTGGCACATATTAGTGTACTGTATGCATAATCCATAGGACATCCACGGATCATCTCCCAGTGAATAACTTCCTCCACTCAAATTATAAACGGGGTATTATTTATTCAGTAGCATCGCGTGGAATGGTGGCACAGTGGCCAGCACGACTAAGCTATGCAATCCACGGTCCGAGTTTGATTCCCAGACTCGGTCAACATCAGCGGTGAGTGACATTGGAACCAGGACAGGGCCTCCCCAGCCTAAAAAAAACAGCAACTGAGCAGCGTGGTGAAATATGGTTATACCATGACCAACATGGCATGGGGAAACCTTCATCCAGCGGAAGATTAACCAAGGGCTTAACATGCACATTACAAGTCAGATGTATACATGTGTCTGCCAAAACGCTGTGCACTGCCGCATGAGCACGCACACACGCAAAATTAATTTAATTATTCAAAGTAGAAGGCTTACATCCTGTTAAAATGTGAATGGTTGACAGTCCCTTGCAGCTGAAGTGTGTATCTCACCGTGCGGTACAAGGGACGACAGCACCTCGGAGAGGTAGAATTTGTAGTGTGGTAATTATGAAGGGGCCTACAAATAAGAGCTGTAATGGAATGGTGTAATACAGAATTGGTATTTTGTCCTTTGTGGGAAAAAAACGTATATGTAGTTCAATATGGTCAAACGTTATAAAGCAAGGGCACTACAAAAAAAACAGCATAACATATTTCTCTAGAATTTTTTATCACTCTGAGTGGATTCACCTGACCCTCCAGCCCTCTCCCCAAGAATCCAATGAATTGTTTTGAGTCAGGGTCATAATTCGATTCAATAATATTTTTCCCCGCATAAATGTTGTGGTGAACAGCAGCACCTCTGGTGGCTGCAAAGATGGCATGAACCCAACACACAATATACTACGAATCTAAAAACACTGATTCCGATGCACACATCTCAATGGATGTATCATAAGCCCGGGGATCAATATTAATCCACGAATCGATGCATAATCGCACCCACATTTATCACCAAAGAAACATCTGGTTATTCTTTGGTTCTTTCGGTAAAGTCACGTATAAAGATAAAATAATAAATTAAATAATAGCATACTACATCATCAGGTATAAATGAAATAGCAACAAAAATCTAACCCCAGAAAACTATAGACAGACATATAAGCAGACAGATATCACAAAGATACACAGAGAGAGAACACGTATCGGCACAAAGAGAGAGGTCGTCTCTGTGACGAGGCCTTAAATATAGAGAGGGGGCGGGGGCGGAGAGAGGGAGGGGGCAGAGAAAAAATTAGCATGTCAATGAGTGGACGACGACGTGGTACGGTACGCTATTATTTAATTTATTATTTTATCTTTATACGTGACTTTACCGAAAGAACCAAAGAATAATTCCTGCAGTCACGAAAGTTTCAAAATTAAGATTGAAACATCTGGTTGCTATTATAAGCACCGTCTGTAGCGTTTTAGCCAGGAGTGTTAACGGACGTACCTGGTTTTTTTTGGATTGCTGGGCTCCGATTAGTTTTCGGGTAGTTACTGTTATACCGTTCGACATGATACGCGAAACTTCTACGGGAGCTGAAAACGTTTTAAATAAGAAGCTCCGAGCGCGTGAAGCGGAACGTTGGGCATCACACCAACCGGCGCATGGCACAACCCGAAAAACAAATCGCAGAGGTAGGCCGGTGCTGTTGTTGCTATTGAATATAGGCAGCACAATAAGATTCGGCTAAATCCGGCACTTTTTGGCTTCAGTAAACGCTGGGATCAGCTGTCGGCTACTAGAGATTCCCTCCTGCAAGCCGCCAATGTACTTGCTATAATAAGCAGGGTGCACGCAGGCAGTGCTCCGGCAGTCTCATCTCAGTTAACAAACAGTTGTTTGCTCCCAGTGGAGACCAACAGGTGGCACCTATGTGTATTAATAGTCGACCACTGCCAATGAAATTTATAGCGTAACGTAAACCTGAACAACTTGGCCCATCCGTCATGCATATACTACCGAATGGATTTTGCGTTCAAATTATTGGGGAAGGCCCCTTCATGATATTCGCCATTCTTGGTGAGCTAAATTTTGCCACCGTTTTCAGCCTTGCGCCACTGATTCCAGCGCCACCGAAAGCTTTTTGGGGGCCTGGGGTAAAATGTCAGATGAGTTCCCCAACCCTCACCACCCCAAGGCCCTCTTGGCCATTATTGAGTTCTCCCTAAGGCCTCCTTGGTCCTTTCTGAGGCTTCCTCGGAGGCCTACGGGATTCTGGCCCACCTGCTCACTCTCCAGTGTGGCCTTGAACAGTGTTCACATTACTGCCAATTAAGGGCTTACCTGCACCTGCAGCAGGTGACACAAGTGCTTTGAGTGCGTGA